GCTATAAATCAATCCATTGAAATTATTGGTCTGATCTTGTTGAGATAGGGTTTTCTGAATATAGTAATTGTTAAGCAATATGTGAAACCAATAATAGCTCTCTACTTCAGTCATAAATATATGGAACCGGGCTCCATGTATATTGTCAATAGTATGAGTCGTTATCATTGGTTCTACAACCTATTAAGTACTAATACACCTAAAATGTTCAGCTAATCATGATTCCACCCCATTGTACCAGATTAATAATCCACATCTGCCCAGTCAGGAACATCTCCCATTTACAACTTCGAAAGATATTTCCAATGCACGTTGACCGTTGAGATGTACATGTGGAGCGCGCTCTCTGGGCTTTGCATGGATGGTTGCACACCACCATTAAGCCACATATCTAGGAAAACCAACTTTTTTTTTTTTCAATTTTATCTTAAATCGGTTTTAACAAAATCGAACCGAAATTGTAATGTTTTACTAGAAAAAAATTACTGATTTTGGGCCCAACCTCTAACTGTACGGTTATACCTACAATTATCACTAGGGGTACACAATTTTACGTCGGTCAATAATGTCAAAAGTGTGTCAAATAGGTAATATTTAAACTTTTCCTCTCATAAAACCTTATATCTTATGCTCGTCGTTAGAACTTAGAAGTAGACGTGTGTTATACGCAAACGGATCGAGTGACTGAACCGAATTGTCGGGTTTTAAATTGAAACAGTGAAACTGATCGATTGCTTTTTAATATATTATTTATATCATATATATTTAAAATATTATTTATAATTTAAAATTTGTATTTATTTTTTAAAAATACTATTATTTAAAAAAACTTCAGCTATTTGGATTTCCACGGGAGACCCATCCCCATCGGTGATCGGGGATAGAAGACAAATTTTATCCCTGATAGGGATATGGGACAATGATGGAGGTTAATTTCAGAATCAGGGGCGAGAACGGGATATGATCCCTACCCTGTTGCCATTTCTACCAAGTGTAAACGGGACTAGAGGTGTAAAGTGGGCTGTGCCGAGCCAGCACGACACGGCCCGCAGACCATGTCACCCTCCCCAATGAAAAGTTTGGGGGTTGGCCCGGCATAACCCATGGCCCAAGCTCGTGCAGGCCCGTGTTGCATCGTGGGCCATGCTTTGGCCTAATCCGGGCCAAAGCTATTTTTGCTTATTTATTTAAAAATTAAAAAAAAAAACTTAAAATTTTAATTTTATATAAATTTTGATATATACAATAATTAAATAAATTAATATAATAAAATTAAAAACAATTGTTTATTTTATTAATATATTATTATATATTTATAAATATATAAATAGTATAGATGAATCGTACTAACATACGGGCCACGCTCAACACGGCCCGCTTAATCGTGCCATGCTAGCTGCCCCGCAGACCTAAAAGCTTAGGCCAATACGGCATGAACTATCATAATGAGCCTGACACAACCCGCGTGCCATCGTTGAAACAGATCCGACGGTCGGACACGATTTACACCTCCAGACGGGAGTCAATCAAAATCTCCACTACAACCGATAAGAATATTAACGGATAGGCACGTGTGTCAAATTTTTTAGAGTTGAAGGCATGAGGTATTGAAATAAAATATTCAGGATACTTGTACATCACTACGCACAAAATACAGAGTATCTATCTATATTCTATAATTTACCAAAAGAAAACAAGAAGAAAGGTCCCAACACTCACATGCGGATCTAACACATCCGCGCGAGATGCAGTTAACCTGGACTCCTTTTCATTTTTTTGGCTAAAAGCAACATTCCAATCCTCTCAAAGTCTCAATGATGGCGACAGACATCTAATCAAACAGTCATCCACTTACCTAACACCAATGCTGCCAACATTTTGTTTCGAATTTTGTGATATTTTGCGTAAGCGTCAACGGATTTCCACCTTGCAAACGGATTTCCGTGAAAGCATCAACGCATTGGAGAAGACAAGGAAAAAACACAAGAGATTAACTGTAAAGAAGAGAAGAACGGAGCAACTAACAGAGTAACAAACTTCGAAGCAAATAGATAGCTGCCGTTGTATGGTTTTGAAGTTGAGAAAAGGGAATCTCTACCCCAGTTCCTAGCAAGCCAGAACTTGTGAAAACAGAACGAGGAAAATAGAAGACGAAGAAAAGCTCAAAACCCCAATTTGAAAGTGGGGTTTGAATTTAACTCGGATCTGCTACTAAGGCTACAAACATAATCGAAGCCGACAGTTTGGTTGCAGACAGAGAGAGAGTGGCCAGTGAAGGAATGTTGGATGAGATTAGGATTTTAATTTTAAGTTTTTCAAAAGTAAAATTCTATTTTAATATTCTAAATTTGGGTAGTGTCAAGTCAGTATCCAAACTTTTAAACGTATCACTACATTATATAAACTTTTAAAAATGTTAAATTGATCAAAATCATTAACGGACGCTTAAATATTATATAAAATGACAAAAATATCCATCACATATCATCTAGTTTTCTTATAATTCCTTCCCGTCCTACACCTATTTAAAATACTTTGAGGCTTCTTTACAGTTTGTAATGTCGTGAAAACTAGAAGGGTTTTGGTAAACTTGTTGACAGAAAACATACGGGAAAAATTCTGATGAAAAATTCGGTAGATCGATTTTCCACCGGAGTATTCTTTCAATAATTCGTCTCTCCCACCGCTCATCCCTTCCCATAATTCCACATTTTCCCTCTTTGTTGTGTGCGTCTCTCTCTCTCTCTCTGCATTTGTTGCATGGAAGAAGACGATCATCACAATTCATCTTCTTCCCTAAAACACGACCTCTAAGCATCGCTCTCTCTCATGTTGTTTCCCGAGTGGCCGCCACGACCCGCGAAACCTTGGAACTAGAAGAGAAGCCCAGACTCATCAGAGCCTCCTCATCCTGGCTCCCCAAAATCAAAGAGATGTGCTGGAATCTCATCTCTCGTTCCGATGAAGGTCAAAGACACTCGAGGGAAAGTTGCCAGCGTCTCTGCCCATGTCGACCACTGAAACAGTGGCGCCACCCATGGAACTTCTCGACAAAGTTTGTGTTGGGAAAGTTACACTTATGAAGACATCATGGTTGGTGATGTTTATTCCCGAAAGGCCACTTTGTGATACTTGATGACCGGAGGGGAGCAATTTTATGGTAATCCAAACTTCAAAAGTGTGTTGCATTGTCCATCACAGAGGTTGAATACATTGCAGCCATAGAAACTTGTAAGGAAATCCTATGGTTAAATAAGTTATTATAAGAATTGGGCATGAAACAAGAAAGATATGCTCTCTATTGTGACGATCAAAGTGCTATCAATTTCTCTAAAAATCCAACTTTTCACTCAAGATTCAAATACATTGATGCAAAATACCACTGAATTTGGAATGTGTTAGATATGAAGTTGTTAAACATTAAAAAAATTCATACTGATAAGAATATGCAAACATTTTAACAAAGTCCTTGCCTAGAGACAAATTTGAATTATGCAAAGAAATTGTGGGCTTGGTGAAGCCCCCATATGAGCTAGAGGGGGAAAATTGTTGGGTGTGGGTCCAACCCATATGAGGGGCCCACCCACTTTTATTTGCTCCCAAAAAGGAGCCGTATAGTGGAAGCCACCTCTTCTTTCAGTTTTTTTTTTTGTGACATACGTTCGTAACTATTGACTGAAAACAAGAGAGAAAAGAAAACACAGAACCGAGGTTTTTTTTTTTTTGGGTTTTTTAAGTTTGTGAAGAAGAGAAGTGAGTTGATATTTATGCTCCATTCAAGGCCAAGCTCGGAGGTGTTTCAAGCCCGTTATTGATGATATTAAGTGCTGAAGTTTATAATTCCACTCCAGATTTGGTGATTATTTCTTTATTTACTTCTCAATTTAGATTTACACCAATTTGGTGAGATTTAAACCTCTGTTTGTGTTATATCTACCTTGCATTTGGTGATTTTAATGTTGTTCTTGTGAGCCAAGGATTATTTCTTTGATGTTTGTAAGTCTTTAGTTGCAACTATAGAAGACTATTGTACTCATTAATTTCTGAATTAGTAGAAGACTTTTATGAATCATAGGTCCTGTGGTTTTTCCCAGATTTTGGGGTTTTTCCACGTAAAAATTCTGGTGTATTATTGTGTGGTGATTATTATATATTTTTCTGTTACTTGGCTGAATTATTTACTTGTTATTATTATTGTTGGCAAACCCATTTTAACACACAAATTTGAGAGAAAGATTCTTATTATCCTATAATTGGTTTTACATTCATTTCTGCTACTATAATATAACTTTCCCAACAATTTGCCAGCGCCTCCACCCATGTCAACCACTAAAAGAGTGGTGCCGCCCGTGGTCGTAACGAGACTACTTTCTTTATTATTTGATTTTTCATGTTTCTTTTGTTGCTCTTCATCGATGTCTGGTTGATCTTTTTATTGGAAGGATTTTGTCTGTACAGAGCTCCGTTGTAAAACTCTGCCCACAAGGTCACCATTGTTCTTTTTCATGTTTCTTTATTTTTTACTGCAAGTTATTAATATACGCCAAGGCGCAGAAGCAAAGCATGCGCAGTCTGGCACCAAACTGTAGCGACTAACGTGGACTCTGAATCTGGATGTTGTTAACTTGTTACTATAGAGAATCGTTTTGAGGAAGATATATCATATATATAGCAGTAACCAGTTCAGTAGGATAGTTTTAATATTTTAAAAATTTTAAGTTATATATGAATGATTAGATAATTGACGGTCGATTAATGATAGGGATTAACTTGATATTTTTTAAAAATTTAGGTACTATAATAACATGTTTCAAAGTTTGAATGCTTACTTACTCCAAAAATCCAAGGTATTAAAGTAATTTTTTTCCTTTTCTTTTTTAAAAATTATATTTAACGTCATCGTCTCCCCGTAACCTACACAGATTTATCATTTTATCTTCAGAAAAAAAAAACCCAAGGATTTTTAAAAGGGGTTATAACTGATAAAAGTATAAAACTCTCTGGCGACGAGTGTGTACAAAAAAAAATACCCTTTCTATTTATTTCGTCAGTGCGAAATAATGGATTAATGGAGAAAACGGCATCGTAAAAAAAAAAAAAGACTAACCAATTATGTGGGTTTTCATCAAATGATCGAAGTTTTCATGGGATTTTGATTGGCTGAATGCTTTCCGGCATCATCCTGCATAAATTAAGGGAGAAGATTGAAAGTCATGGAGACCAGCAAATGGATCAAACAGTCAGCATATGGATTCAAAGTTCCCGACTAGAATGAAGAGGACAATATTCAAGCTTTAGAGAGAAGATTGAATGTCATGGAGACTAGTAAGTGGATTGCAACAGTTGCCAGCATATGGATTCAGTGCACCAGCGGGGCATCTTACACCTTCGGTATTTACTCCCCTGTGCTCAAATCCAGTCAGGGTTACGACCAATCCACCCTCGATTCCATTGCCGTCTTCAAAGACATCGGCGCCAACGTTGGCCTTCTCTCTGGCCTCTTATATGATGCTGTCGCCGTCCGTCCTCGTTCTTCTGCTTCTTCTCCTTCTTCTTGGATCAATTCATTTGGAGGTCCATGGATTGTGCACGTTGCCGGTGCGATTCAGTGCTTTACGGGCTACTTCTCCATGTGGCTTTCAGTGACCGGAATCCTTCATCGGCCACCGGTTCCACTCATGTGCTTGTTCATGTTCCTTGCAGCTCATTCTCAGACCTTTTTCAACACTGCTAACGTCGTCACCGCCGTCCAGAACTTCCCTAATTATAGCGGCACCATTGTTGGTATCATGAAGGTCTGTTGCTTCTGTCCACCTTTTTCTCGTTTTAAACATTTCTTGTTTATGGGTTTGATTTCAGCGTGTATGATGAGTTGACTCGATGCGTCACTGCTTAGTTCTGGCTTTTCACTATATTTCAAGTTGATAAAGACTTAGAAAATTTTCTTAGATCCATAAATATATGGAGGTACAGAATTTCCCACAAGATTCCTACAGAATTTGATACTCTGTTTCGAAAAGCTTTGAGCTTTTTATTCATTTTCTTTTTATTTACTTTCTACCCAATAAATTAGGAGCATTACATGCCGTGTTATGTTTGTCTCCTTGAACAAATGAAATACGGTTAGAATCAATCAAGTTGTACAGACTGAAGAGAGCTCCCATGCCCAAACAGGGGCAGGTATGATGTTCATGAGAGAATCTCCGTCCCATTAGTCACCTGTCAACCACTTCTACATATTGCCTAACAGATGGGATTTCTGTGAATTCCTGAAACAAAGTAATCGATCCCTTCATCATGCTCTTACCATGAACTTTTATGCAATGATTCATGGCAATCTATCTGTATTTTGCACGTTCTGTGTCGTGCCTGACATAGCTTGATCCAGAAACCAATATGAATGTTGGCCAGTACTAGTGTACTACAAGGCAGTGCTTTAAAATGTGGCATATGGCTTAATTGACCACCCATCCTTCCCAGTATTTTGAAGCTGGGACATTTGTAAGGGTAACAAGGAAAGACTCAGTACCTATACGACACGGTAATCCCTTTGCTGATACTCTCTCTCTCTCTCTTCATTTTAAGGCTTGCAACAGTGGAGGTCTTTGTTTCATGTAAATCTTTATTTTGTTTTTTTATCCTTGCATGATGCATCTCTCTCTTGATTCTTCCATCTTGAAAAATAGTCTTCCACTTTTGATCTTATATGGATTTTCAACCAATAAAGTTTCAACATTATGGATAGGAAAAGATATTGTAAGAAATGAATCTGATCAATTATTTCTGAAAATATACAGGGTATATGATCAATAAGGATAATATGCAGTGAATATATTATAATTGTGATATTATTTTTGAAGTGGAAAGCTATGTTGGTTGGAAAGGCTGCTTTGTATTTTTGTGGAAAGAAGTTGCATTGAGCCATTGACATGAAGCAATTGTTATATGTATCTATCATCCTTCTACCTTGAGCTTTACTATTTTTCCCTTGGTCTGAAATGTGCTATTTACCATTCTTCTGTGTAGGGCTTTCTTGGTCTGAGTGGAGCTATACTAATTCAAGTATATGAGGCAATGTACAAAGGCAAGGAGAGCTCTTTTATTCTCATGCTTGCACTGTTACCAACCATCACTCCCCTCATACTTGTGTGTTTTGTAGCAATCCATTATACAAATGGAGCAGATGACAAGAAGAACTTGAATGGTTTTTCACTTGTTGCTCTGAATATAGCTGCTTATCTCATGGTCATGATAATCTTGGAAAATATCACAACTTTTGAATTGTGGGCCCGTGTGCTAGCATTTGTAGCACTCCTCTTGTTGCTTGCCTCCCCTTTTATTATTGCAATTCGAGCTCAGTTGAGGGACATGCCGAGGTCATCACAGACAATGGGCCTTGAGGGGTCTAGGCCAATGGATGAAACAGGTCTGCTAGAAGAAGAGAAGTATCATGAGATGCCTAGTGATACCGATCAAGAGTCCTATATTCATGACAAGAGAATAATGCCAGGGGGAGAAGGCTTGAACCTTTTGCAAGCCATGTGTACAATTAACTTCTGGATAATATTCCTTGCAATGGCATGTGGTATGGGCTCAGGACTGGCCACTGTGAATAACATCAGCCAAATAGGAGGATCTTTAGGTTACACAACTGTTGAGAGAAGTACCTTGGTTTCTCTGTGGAGCATCTGGAACTTCCTTGGTCGTTTTGGAGCAGGGTACATATCTGACTATTTCCTGCACTTGAGAGGTTTGGCAAGGCCACTTTTCATGGCCATCACTCTTGCAGCCATGAGTATTGGTCATGCTATTATTGCATCTGGGCTGCCTGGAGCGCTGTATGCAGGATCAATCTTGGTGGGTGTATGTTATGGTTCACAATGGTCATTAATGCCCACCATCGCTTCTGAACTATTTGGTGTACTGCACATGGGTACAATATTCAACACCATCTCCATTGCAAGCCCAATTGGATCTTATATTCTCTCTGTGAGGGTTGTTGGGTACATCTATGACAAAGAAGCATCCGGCAGTGGAAACACATGCAGTGGAGCTCATTGCTTCATGTTATCTTTTCTAATCATGGCATCTGTTAGTCTATTGGGTTTTCTTGTTGCCCTGGGATTGTTCTTCCGGACAAGAAGGTTTTACAAGGAGGTAATATACAGAACAGTGCAAAATTCTTCAAGTCAGTGAAGTTTTTTCAGAGTAAAGGAAATAGTTTGCAAAACGACTATCTCTTGCTGTTTACTTGTCAATGATAAATATTGGGCATTTTTCATCATTTATTTTCTTAATTTCTTCTTGGCAAGGTTTTCTTCCTTCTTCCTCTTTCCTTGTTTCGACATGATTTTCTTTCATTGTTTCTTGTTTGGTAGGTTCTTTTATTACCTTAACATGCTTTAATGGAAAAACTTGATTCATTTAATGTCACTAGAATGTCCAGTCTGTCATGTTTGAGAACATTGTCAACATCATCTTGGAGGTTTTATCCCCATATATATATATATTGTTGGGATGTATAGTATTCAAATAATTTCTTGTTAAGCTTTCAAGGTTTATTTAGCTTTACATGCCCCATATTCCTGGTATTGTCACTGGCCTTGCTGTATTTTTCTTGCTAGTGTTGCCCTTGGTATCTGTTGCATAACTGTCTTAATGTTCTCATCTTTGTTATACCATTCCATGGATGTTTTGTATATTGATTTCCCAATATAGTAGCCTTGTCACTTGTTTTCATTTCAGTGGGAAAAAGAAACTCTTAAATTTTGAACATAGACCAAAGCTGAGAGAAGTAGTAATCAGGAAGGAGACTAAGGGTTCTCAGTCCATCTATTTTTGGAGAAAACTTTGGCTGTTGAGAGCCAACAGCCTGTGTCTTTGGGAATGTTCGACACATCAACCCATTTAGTCCCTTGCTTGTCTTTTTGGCTGACAGAATATTCAGTGCAATTACTCTTTTTGACTTGCTCCTACGGAACCAAAGTCGGAATTGTTGAAAAAATCAGTTATCGAAAGATTGTTCAAAAGGTTCAAGATCAGTAATCCCTTTTTCAAAAATGAATGATTTTATTTTATCATTTTATAGAAAATGCTGAATAGGAGCAATGCATGTACAGAGAAGAATGCTAGTAATGATTAACAAACAAGTTTATCATTGCATTTTGTGGTCTGCATAAACTAGTTGTTTATTAAGCATTCATTGATAATTCTTATCTTATCGGCTTATCAAAGAAGAAAAAGGAAAACTAAACAAATACAGCAGTTGTTTTTTATCCATTTTTGGGATGAATTTGCATATTTGGTGAGAGAGTTGATCAAAGAATATGGATTATTTTTTCCTCTTTTTCTTTTGATTTTTAGTCATTTCACTCTTATTTAAGATCATTGATGGGACTCTGATCAAATCTAAAATCAGAAAATTTGACCAGATTCATATTCAATCTTAGAATCCCTATGCTTAATTGGATTTCAAATCAAATCCAGTAAAAGTGTTTTGTTAATTAGAATCAAACTCAAATGTGGGCTAAACCCGTCTGAATCCATCCACTTACAACCTAGATCGGATTTCATCCTGACAACACATGCAGCCATTTATTGGGAACATCTCCATACTTGTATGCTTTCATTCATGGAAGATATCCCAATGCATGGCTAAAATGTTGTGAAGTTGGTGTGAGAACCAATTTTGTGAGGGTGAAAATCTGGATTGCTTACAACCCTACCCTGAATTGCCCATCTACAAGAATGGTCTTCCTTATGGTACCACCTAGATTTGGTTGTGGCTGTTGGAGAATAAAGACCTATTCAGGGACCTCACCTTAAGAACCACAGGCAAATATTTGGAAATTGGATTTCCTCCTCACTGCTCTTGCATCCATGCATTTGGAACATCTCTCCATGAATAAAAACATACAAGTACAGAGATGTTCCTGATATGCGGCTGTGAGGTGAGTATGGGGACCGATTTTGTGAGGAGGAAATCCAAATTCAAATGTTTGGTGCAGAACTGCATCTAGCACCAACATTGCAAGCTTAGGGTCTGTTTGGTTCGCAGTCAGAATCGGAATTAGAATCAGCAGGAATGGGATTTTATTCCCAAGGGAGAGGCAGGGAATGGCCATTTCCTCAAATGGAGGAATGCCATTCCAGCAGGAATTGGAATGGGATTCCAATTCCACGAATGGGGCCTTAGATTCTGAACCAACCTCAATTCTAAGGAGACCAATAACGTTAACAATATCTTTCATGAAGGTAGCCTGAGCAGTTAAGTATGTTTCTGGCCATTATTTTACAAACATTAGGAGCCAAAATATGGTCAAAACACATTCACTACTCAAGCGAACCAGACAGAACAGAGAGGCTCGTTTACATATACATTCATAACCAAAATAGGAAGAAATTGAAGAAGATTAGCCTAAGAACTGCTGAAGCTATAAGGTGGTATGAACCTGACCATTAACAACAGGAATCAAGAAACAAACCATTAGATAATACATTCAACATTGACCACCATCCTTGGATTTATTTGCGGCATGAATTTCTGTCTGTTTCAATCTAGTTACAGCCTCTTCATTAGTTGCCTGAGTACTATTTTTTTCCTCCGCCGACTTCAAAGCCAGATATTTACTGTGGTTATAGTAGCAAACACCCAGAAATGCAATCCCGTACCCAACCAAATTTACTACAGTAACTGTATCTCTGATAAACGACCAGGAGAAGGCAATGAGAAGCCAATCCTTGACGACTCCAGCCACGTTCATCGTGAGCGCCGAGGTCTTCCCGACTAGAAGAAAGACTGCCAGGTTCAGCCCAAAGGCACAGAGGGAGTTGGACGACAAGATTGGGAAATTAAAATGGAACGACGAAGTCTCTCTGACAATGGGGAATTCGACATAAAACCAGGGAATGGAGAGAAAAGCAAGGCAACATGGTGCAACATAGTAAAGAGACGTAATGGGATTCAAACTGATTCCTTTGGACGTAAGAAGGATTTGAATCAGAACAGCTGAAATGAACTTCTGGTGGCCTCAAATGCAACTGCAGACAGCTGAAAGAACACACCCCAGACACTGAAATGAACTTCTCCATAAGCGGCAATGGCGACACCAACTGATATGGTGATCATATTAGCCATGACATCAGATTTGAACACTTCTTTCTTGAGGCCGACGCCTATGGCATACACGGCAACGGGTATCAAGGCTTTAAGCATTTGAATGAAGGAGACGGAGAGGTAAATGTAAGCAGAGTTGGAGAACCAGAGGCTGAGGGAGTAGAGAGCACCAATGGGGACGACGGAGGAGACATAGAGGTCTCGAGACATTGAGACAGAGTCGACGACTCAAAAGACTCTGACGAGGAGGAAAGATAGGATTGAGCAGAAAGACATGTGAACCATGGTGAGGGAGATTGGGAATGGCCAGTTGAAAAGATTTCGGTCAATGATGTATTTGTTGAAGACGATAACAGTGAAGCATAAGAAGATCCACAAAAGGAAACAAGAGTGCACACAAATTAGACAAAAGGCAACTTATATTGCATTAATCAGTGGTAAGCACAAGCACACAGTACAGTGTCGAGGGGATCTCGTGCTTAACCTTTACACGCTTATGAGCTCACTCGACTACCTACCTCCCCTCAAAGAGTACGTTAAGCTTTTGGGGGAGTGACAAAAGGATACATCAAAATATTGTACATGCATACTACTATTTACATAATTGCCATTGGCATACCCCCCTTACAAAAAGAGTACAAGGACCCAACCCAAGACAAGGCGTAAGATAGTAAAATCTTCCTAACTATTTTTGGGTTTAGCCCCATTTCCGATCAAAGAGAGTTGCAAATTAGATTCCTATAGTTACAGGGATGGAGACTGGAAGTCTGGAAGATGGAGGGATAGATATAACGGTTCAATTGAATTGAAGACTAAGGAGAGCGTCAGTACTCAGATGTTACAACTTGCAGACATGGCACACATACAAGCAGAGAGAGAGAGAGAGGTTCAACCACTGGTCGATTGATATAGGTGACGTAAATTCCATTTTTTTATTTCTAGTCGATTTTTTACTTGCTTTTTTATTTTACTTCAAACAGTTTTTTGGGGGCATTTTCGTTAAATTTAATACTAAATAATATTATGGTGTTTAGTTAAAGATACAAAACTTGTATTGTATCATTTAATAACAGATCAAATATAATTTTATTTTTCTAACTCGAATAGAAAATTCCAACCCAAAGGCTTTCAAGAAGTTTCATTAATTGGTGTGGTTTTAATCCTTTTATATAAAGGGGATTTTGTTGGTTATGGAACCCTAACTTGTTTGCTTTAGAACAACCCTAAACAGAAAATTCCAACCCAAAGGTTGTGTTCAAAAAGCTATCTTTCATGGTTTTCAAAAATGGGATTTTGTTGGTTATGGAACCCTAACTTGTTTGCTTTAGAATCGATAACAAAATGAAAACGCATTCCATAATGCCGGTTGTGTTTGTAAACCAGATGATACAAAAACATAAGCATGAAAATAACACCCCCTCAGTAAGCCTAATTTGGTCTTAAAAGAAAAAAAGCAAATTCCATGGTGCCACTTAGCTTAATTGGTAAGGTCTTTGGCCGGATGTAGTTGAAATTGGGATTGATTCTAAATTGAGGGTTATGGATAAAGGGGATGGTGCTGCCACTATTTGTTTTGCTCTATATAATAACTCAATCTAAATTTTTTAAGACTTGGACATATACAATAAGCAAGAAAGCTGAAACAAAATGGCTCCCTTTTCAACAAGAAAATTGGCCACCAAGAAACAGACCAAATTGTTGAAGGTTGAGCAATAAAGACAAAACTCAAAAGCACTTAACTTGGGGAGACAACTCAAGACAATGTTTTCAAGACCAGACCGGACTGGATGGTTGGACCAGAAAAACTGGGAATTGGTCACTTGATTAGTTCTGTTTTACCCTAAAATCACTTTTTCTCAAAAAAATAAACGTTGATTTAGTCAACAAATCGTTGACCGGGCAGTTGAACTATCACACTGTTTGACTCAGGAATAGTTTTTGGCTAGTTTTTCTTTAATTTTTTTTTGTCAGAGCAGGCCATCCATTCGGACCAGATGATTGGACTGTTTGACTCAGGAAATAGACCCAAAACGGTTCCCTGTTCGATCCGATTTAAAAAACCTTGACTCGAGGGACCTTTACAAACGGAGGAACAGTAATGTGGATTATTGCTTTAAATAGGGGTGAGCATTATTCGGTTAAAACCGAATTATCGAACCGAAAATTTTGGTTTCAGTTTTTGGGTAGTTCGGTTCGGTTAATTCAGTTTTTTGGGTAGTTCAGTTCGGTTAATTCGGTTTTTGGGTAATTTGGTTTTCAATTTCGAGTTCAGATTTAGAAATTTGGTTAACCGAAAAAACCAAATTAACTAAAATTTATTATATAATATATAATATGTTATATATTTATATATTAATATATTATATATAATGTATTATAATGAAATTAAATTTCATAATATATATTATAGGTTATAATATATAATATTATGTATATAGTAATTAAATTCGGTTTTAACCAAAAATTGAACCGAAAATTTTGGTTTTATTATAATACAGTTTTCAGTTTGGTTTTAAAAATTCCGGTTTATTCGATTCAGTTTTTAACCTAATAAACAAATGCTCACCCCTAGCTTTAAACATGTGCTCTTGTACCAATATACATAAAAACAAAATCTTCAGCTTTTTTTTTTGATAATTAACAAAACCTTCAGCTTCTATTTCAAACAAGTGGTTATAAATATATTAAAATTCAAAATTTAAATATAGGCACAATGATCTCTTTTTAGTCTCCCAGATCCAAAAAAAAAAGGATGATGATAAATAAAATAAAATAAGAAGTTGGCCTAAATGGCTAAATGCTTTAATACTTCCTGCCCCAATAACGGGTTATTAACTAGTCTTTTATGAAGCTTAATGAATTTTAGAGTACACGTGTCTTCTAAAGCATTGCATTGGCCCATCCAATGCTTTTATTTCCAGTCTCATCAGAGGAGAAGAAATGCCCATAAAAGTTACTGAACCGGATCCGAATCCACTGAAGTTTATATGGAGCAGTTGTAGACTTGTAGTAAGGATAGGATTACCCAAGTTACGTGGTATAATCGACGCTATTTAGAGGTGGAACCAGAGCCAGAATTTACCCAGTTAGGCAGTTAGCTATTTAGAGGTGGAAAGTTTTCCGGAGTTAATCATCCGTATCTGAATTGTATCAGTGTTGAGGTCATTCCGATCGCAGAGATGTGTGATGCAGACATTATGGTTGGGCACCAGGTTTTAAAAACTGGATCAGACACGGAATCATTTTAGAACCGGTTTTCGGATTGAACAGTTTAAGTATTTGGTTCAAATGGATGGTCTGTTCAGATTTAAAAAATAAATAAAATAAAAAATGATCAAAAAAACATTGTCCGGGTCGATGAATTGACTGCCATCACTACCTAGGCCAGTGGATCGTTGACCAAATCAATGTTTTTTTTTACCAAAAAAACAGTTTTAAGATAAAATAGAACTTACCAATTCCTGGGTCAATCGACCCAACCATCCAATCCGGTCCAATTTTCAAAACCATGGTTAGGCAAGACCCGATATTAGGTCTAAATGGATCATCCCACTTGACGAAGTACATCATCTCCACGGCTTTCATTCAAGCAGCAAGGCTGCAAGTTGTTTGGTCTGCATTTATTTGACACCTTTCTGCAGCAAATTTATAGGTGACATACAAAAGACTTGTTCGTTTGCAGGTGCATCAACTCCCACATAACTAATTGATTATTAAGGGATGGATATGACTCTACTGATCTGACAATATTTATAATTCATTTAAGTTCTACTTCATGCCAAGGACTAAACATGTTCTCCTTCTTCTTCATGTATGGACCTGCCAAGAATTAAAATGGGGTAAATTTTTTAAATTACCCTTATTATTTAATTAATTGACTAACTTTATTCTTACTGTTTATATATTGTCTTAGAGCATCCCTAAGTTTTTTAATAATGGACTAAAACCTCCTTCACTGTTAATTTTTCGTCACATATGACATCATATGACCAATACATTTTTCAAAAATTCCAAAAATGCCCTTTAGAATCTCTCTCTCTCTCTCTCTCTCTCTCTCTCTCTCTCTCTCWCACACACACACACACACACACCCCCAGCTTGATGAACGCAATTAGCAGCAGCTGCAGTGATGATTTCGTTGGTTGATGTTGTCGAATCACAGAGGTTTGAATTAACTGATGTTAATGTTTCATTTTGAAAATTTGAAAAGAATAATGGGTAAAATGGTTTGTTTCATCTTTATGTTAATGGACGTTAGTAGTAAGAGGGCTTAATTAATTGTCGAAAAAGTTAGGGGTACTCTAAGACAATATGTAAACAGTAAGGGTAGAGTTAATCAATTGGTTAAACCATAAGGGTAGTTTAAGAAATTTGCCTGATAAAATAAGGATATTCTCTAAAATTCACCATGACATTTTCATTTCACTCTTAAACTCATTATGAATTTTTAAGACCTCCAAAGATCCCTTTCTCAATGAGTTTTATTGTCTAAAATTCACCTCACAGAAGTTGTCCATATAAGCATTTGAAGAGTTCAAACTTTGTCCTCACATCGTCTTCATAGCCTTTGCAGTCATGCTTTGGAAACATATTCATACTTGTATATATATTTTTTATTCATGGGGAGATATTCACAATGCATGCTACAAGAGCTATGACTAAGTACGAGGATGGATTTTAGGAGGACAAAATCAGAATTTGCATTTGAGTATTTTACATGACCAAGCTACCCCTGAATGGCCAATCAAGTTTGTTAATAACTTTCATAACAAAATTACCCCTGACCTATGTCTGGACTTACACCAGGGACAGTGGTAATTTTGTCATAAAATATTTAATAATGTTGACTAATCATCCAGGGATAATTTGGTTATGTAGAACACTTAAATGCTTACATGGGCAAATTCTATTGATGATCGTTATGGTGATCTAATGGAAATCTTAATGGAAGGTGGGTTTTGGACAATAAAACTCACTAAAATGGGGCTCTTTGGAGGTTTTGAAAAGTTATAATGAGTTTAAGAGAAATGTAAAAAGTTCTGACTTTTATAATAAACAAAAAAAAATCATAATTGGTGTTCTAAAGTTGCCATTGTTCCAGATGATCAAATTGGAGATGAACCAATGGCCCGTTAGTTATAGGAACCAGATTTGATCCTAACAAGCATCCCAATGAACCACCACAGCTGCAACTATAGTGGCTTACTAGGAGCAGCTTTAGGTTGCATTTGGCATTCCTTGTTTTAAGGACTTATCTCCTTTTTGCATTAAAATGCCCCCATGAACACTAAGTTTTTAATAGCAAAAAGGAGATAAGTCCTTAAAATAAGGAATGCCAAATGCAACCTTAATTCCCAAATGAAGAGTCTTGAGTCTTCAAATTGGGGTAAAAATAGTATAA